GCTATACACCTTTGGGCGGTCAAGTGTTCACCCACTTCGTCACAGCATCACATTGAAGCGGTTCCGATTAGCCCGTTCTCGCAGGAACGCGCCCAATATTGCCCCGCTGTTGAGATCCGCTTCGTCGACCCAGGTCGTCTCATCATATCCTACCCAATGCACCAGGAATTCTCGGTAGATCCGACCAAATCGCGTCTTCTTCCCACTCCGCACATCAGAGATCCGATCGACTTCATACTCATCGGCCCCTAGATCCGGGACCCAACTGTCCTCCGGGAGCAGGATCTCGTCGAGATCGAGACGATCCGCCTCATCTACCGTAAGTTCCACTCGCGGCCGATCCGGAAAATCCTTGACCAGTTTCAACTTCGACACGTGAACTACTGGGAAGATCTGGTACCTGGTACCTGCGATCTCGAGCATGACGCTGAATTCGTTGATCTTCTCGGCGACTCGGAACGGCCCATGCCATAGGTGAGCCAATTTCCCCGCATATCCTTCCTTCACCCGATCTAGATATAACCAGATGCGAGATCCGGCCTCGATCTGGTGTGATCTGACGCCCTCGTTGTGTCGGTCGGCCCGATCTGCCGTGACCTCCTTCAATCTGGCATTGACTTGTTCTCGGGATTGCTGATAATATCGCTGGACTCGATATCGCCACCGCCGCGCGTCTCAATCGCGCCGTCTCGTACATCCGACCGGCAGTGTAGCCTCCAAGGTCGATCTCGGATCCCACCCATGCACCAAATAGTGAGGGGTATCTCCCCGGATCCGATCGTGAGCCGTGTTGATCGCGAAAGTAAGGCGCTCAGCGTATTCGTCCCAATCCTTCTGATCAAGATCGCGGACGTACATCTTGAGCGCCCTGGTCGCGGTCTGCACCATTCTCTCAGCAGTCCCGTTAGCTTGTGACCGATATACCAGCGTAGCACGCTGCCGCTGTCCCAGGATCTTATTAAACACCCGGAAGAAATCGGAGATGAAACCGGGTTCCCGATCATGCCGGATCATCTCACTGGCGTCAAATCGCCGTAATACGCACTCTTCGTACGATTTCGCCACCGTCTGGGCCGATCGGAAGGAGCTTGCCTACGCGATCACATATCCTGTGAACAGATCGACCCAGATCAATAACTCCATGTTTCCCTTGTGGGATCTGGGTAGCGACGGTATGTGATCCATCGCAATAATCTGGAATGGATACGTCGCCTGCAAGTTCCCTGGTGATTCGCCCCGGATCAACGGTTTTCCTTTTCCTGTTTCGCAATCCACGCATTCCCCCACATATTGCTGAACACTCCGGTGTAATCCCCTCCAGTGGAAGTGATCCCTGATCCGCTGGTAGGTACGCCCCACTCCCTGATGTCCTCCTTCCAACGTGGTGTGATAGTAATGTAAGACGTCCGATTGCAGCGTTTCGGGGACTACCAATCTCAGCAATCGGTCGCGATCGTCCCCCGATCTCGGCGTGGGGGGAGTAAAAGAGTAGATCCTGCTCGTCTACTTCGTAGTCGGCCGCGATCTTGCCATACGATCTTGCTTCCGCTTGTGTGAGTGAGATCTGCGATCGAGCCACTCAGATACTTCTTCATGCCGGCGATCCAGACTTCTTCCTCCTGGGCCTGCTTGATCCGATCGACCCGGATCTCCCGGATCAGATCCTCTTGCATGACACCCGCAGGTGATCTTGCTCGACCGCCTCGAGTGGTAACCGCTGCAACTCCCACCACTGGATTCTCGGTCTTGGGGATCAAGCTTTCGTCAAACCAGCTCAGGGTGCCTAGATCCCACGTTGTCGTTGCAAAACGGCGCTCGCTAGACTCTCGGCACTTCCGTTCCAGTCCCTCCTGACATGCACCAACTCATGATCACTCCATTCCCTCAGGCGATCGAGGGTCTTCCGTGTCGTATCGGAATACGTCCAAAATATAGGTACACCTCCCTCC